GATAAGCACTGTGGCAATAAATGCGCCGTCGACCCCTCCCAGGCGAAGCTCAAGGTTCCCAAGCCCACCTGGTCCTGTGCCTCTCGCCCCGCACTTTGACGACCCTAGCGCGTTTCGAGCTAGCTTCCGACTCTACGCCACTACCGCCACGCTCCGCCTCAAGCCAGCTCAGACTGCTTCCCAGCATGCTTCGCATCGGTGTTGATGTCGGTGGTAAGCCGTAGCGCCTGCCGCTCGCGGGCGGTGCTCGTCCCTCTACAGCCTGCCATAAGCCCGCGCTGACGTCCTGCCCAAGGAACGAACACGGACGGCGTCCTGATCGACGTCACCCGCCTCCGCGAGCCCGGCCGCGGTGTGCTCGCCCACTACAAGTCGCCCACCACCGCGCCCGACGTCTCGACCGGCATCGAGATCGCGGTCCGGGAGGTGCTCAAGTTCGCTGCGGTCCCGCCCGCGGACGTCTCCTCGGTCAGCATCGGCACGACGGCGTTCATCAACGCCGTGCTCGAGGCCGACGCCCGCCGACTGGCAAAGGTCGCCGTCGTGCGCCTGTGCGGGCCGTACACGCGCCAGTGCCCGCCGTTTGTCGACTTTCCGAAACGCCTGCGCACGCTCACGGAAGGCCATGTCGGCTACGTCGACGGCGGATTCGAGAGTCCGTGTATCTCGCATTCTTCTACATGACGCGGCCCGCTCACTATACGTACCCTGACAGTTGATGGCCGTGAGATCCTGCCCTTGAACGAGCAGCAGATCGTCGAGCAATGTGCCCTCATCAAGGCCAAAGGCCTCAACAATGTAAGCACTACTTGGCGTCTCGTTGGCATACCGTACAGGATGCCGCTTCTTTATGGGGCACCGGGGCAGCGACGCGGAGACAGGACCTCTCTATAAACCCTGGTGAATCTTGGCCATATGGGTATGGGGTCCCGTCACGACTGTCGGTTTTGAGCTTCCCGGAAACCTCATTGCGCCACGCGCTGGACAGTGGAACCGGTCCTACGAGCCAACTACCATAGCATCGAGCACAAGGCTGTACTTGAGAGTTTCGCATAGAACCTGAACGGCTAATTGAACGCGTCGCAGATCGTGCTGTCTGGTATCTATTCCCCCTTGGACAGCGAAGGCAAACACGAAGCCGCGGCCCGGGCCATCATCGAGCGCGAACTCGGGCCCGCCGTCAACGTCGTCTGCTCCCGGGACGGTAAGTGGCAGACATCGCGGCCCCTCGGACGACCTCACGCTAACCGCACGCCAGTTGGCCAGGTCGGGCTGCTCGAGCGCGAGAACGCGGCGATCCTGAACGCGTCCATCCTGACGTTCGCGCAGCGCACGATCCGTGGCTTCCGGCGTGCGATGCGCACCCTCGCGCTGTCGTGCCCGCTGTTCCTCACCCAGAACGACGGGACGCTGACGACGGCGGCTGCGGCCGCGCGCCTGCCGATTCGTACCTTCGCCTCGGGCCCAACAAACTCCATGCGCGGTGCTGCCCTGCTTGCTGGGCTCGATGACCATGGCAAGGGTGAACAGCAGGCCCAGCGCAAGGCTGCGATCGTTGTTGACGTCGGCGGGACGACCTCGGACGTCGGTGTGCTCCTGCCTTCCGGCTTCCCCCGCCAGGCGGCCTCGTTCATCGAGGTCGGCGGTGTGCGCACGAACTTTGCCATGGCCGACGTGCAGTCCATCGCCCTCGGAGGCGGCTCTATCGTCCGCGTGACCGAGACGGCCAAGGGCAAGCGGGTAACGGTCGGCCCAGAGTCTGTCGGGCACAACATCACCCGGGATGCACGGGTGTTTGGCGGGAGCGCGCTCACCGCGTCCGACCTCGTCGTCGCGAGTGGTCGGGCGGAACTGGGCGACAAGGCGAAGGTTGCGGACGTCCCTGCGGACGTTGTCGAGCTCGGAATGCAGAGAATCAAGAAGCTGCTCGAGGGTATCGTCGACAAGTGGGTCCCATATCCCTGTTGGAGAACGCCATCTGACAAGTGGTTGTGCAGGATGAAGACATCGCCCGAGGACATCACCGTCCTCCTCGTCGGAGGCGGTAGCATCATCTCGCCCGACACATTGGCGGGCGTGAGCGAGATCATCCGCCCGCCGTTCTTCAGCGTCGCCAACGCCGTCGGCGCCGCCATGGCCAAGGGTGCGTGAATTCATATTTTTATTGGACATAGCGCCAATTCACCATCCACTTCGCGCAGTGGCAGGCGAGATCGACACGATCGAGTTCCTCAAGGGGCGCGACATCCACGCCGTCGTGGAGGACATCAAGAAGCGTGCGATCGAGAAGGCTGTCGCGTCGGGAGCGGACCCCGGTGCGTCATGCATCTCGATCGCCCTCTCGGTGGAGCGACTGACAGCGCCTTCCCAGCGACGACCAAGGTCGTGGAGGTGATCAACCTCCCTGTCCAGGTAAGCACAATTCCATGTCGCGTTTGCTGTGTTCGGGTCCCGCGCCCCGCCTCCGGGCCTGTCACGCAAGCATATTCATCTGCTGATTAATGTCTGCTTGTCCCGCCGCAGTATGTCACGAACGAGGCGACGCGGATCATCGTCAAGGCCGCGGGCGACCTCGCACCGCAGGCCGTCGCTGCGCTCGACGCGGACGCGTTGTCTACAGATGACGAAGCTGTCGATGCCGATGCAGAGGGCGAGAAGGCTCTCGCGAATGGCTCAGCTAGTGAAGGTGATGCAGGAGAGGCTATTGAAAGCGAGGTGGACATCGACACGTACAAGCCGACGATCCTGCCCGACAGGACGTGGAAGCTGTCTGAAATAGACTTGGGTACGTTGACAATCTTCTATCCTAGGGTGGTTGCAGTAGGACTCCAGCTGACCGACGTGTCACAGAATGGATTGCAGAAGGCTGTGGTGTACTCGGGACAGGAGGTGGCGGCTCGCCGTACCCGCCGTTCTTGATGGCACGCCAGGCGCTGCGTGACGGCAAAAACATCATTGTCAGTACGAGGCGTGGACGGGAGGACGTGGCTAAAACTGACGAGGAATACGCAGGTCGTGGACCCCGACTACGTGCCGAAGACAGATGTCTTCATACGTTGCAGCTTCATGGTATGCCCTTGTCCCCATTCAGGTTTCGTGTCCGACAAGCTGAACACCGTTCAACCCTCCTTAGGGCTCTCCAAGCGTTTCTGTAAGCATCAAAAACGCTTCACATTACCAATACCCGCATCGCTCACTGTTCATAATTAGTCGGAACGCCTGCAAGGCGGCGATGAGATCCCCTCATCTGCTCGCGCACTGATGAAGTACCTCGGGATCAATGACTTTACCGGTGCCATCTCTGAGGAGATCGGTGGCGGGAACGGCATTCAGCCCATGATCGTCGCCGCAAAGATGGGCAAGACCGTTCTCGACTGCGACCTCATGGGCCGCGCGTACCCTAACGTGAGTGAAATATGAGTCATACAACAGCGCTTGGAGCACACAAAGCTGACTACGATCGGGGACAGATGTATCAAACGTCCGTAACTTTCTGCCGTAGCTGTGGAAGTGTGGACGAGACTCTAACTGCCCCCGTATAGCCTGCCGGGGGCGTATGATATCCCTGACGGCTTGTGGCCCTGCGCCATCTCAGATGGGGTCGGAAATACGTTGGTACGCCCTCGCACAAATATTATTCGCATCCAGTAGCGGCCAACACTGTTCGATATCTGCAGGTCCTCCCCACCGCACGAAACGCGAAGGCAGTAGAAGATATCCTTCGTCTGGTAACCACCGAAATGGGTTCGAAGAGCGGTGTCAGCATGGCACCCCTAGACACTACGACATGCGTCAAGTATGGTATGTCAATTGACGAAGTCAGTTATCGGCCATATGGGTCTTACCGCGGGTTTCATGTAGGTGTCCCGCACAGCGTATCACAAGCATGGCGTATTGGACGCGCGATCGCCCTCTGCCGAAAGCACAACAACCTGAAGCGCATCCCCCAAGCGATTCTCGAGCTCCAGAACGGCGCGTGCTTGTTTGTCGGGAAGATCGTCGACGTCCAGCGGGTGCGCATCGCCACCTTCCTTCTGATCGTCAGGGGTCATACTGACCATAATCCGACATCGACAGGAGGTACGCAAGGGCTTCACTTGGGGCGAGGTTACCATTGCGCCGCTGCAGGAGGAAGAGGAAGAGGACGCAAACGAGCCCTCCGCTGTATCTCTCTCCGTCCGCGCGGATGATAGGCTTGTCATCCCGTTCCAGAACGAAAATCTGTACGCGTACATCCGCTCTGCCAACGGCGAGAAGAAGGTGCGTCTCACCAGGTCGTTCTCAATCCTGACCTGACGACCACTCTCCGCCTATCCCCGATGCACAGATCCACTGCACGGTACCAGACCTGATCACCGTGCTCGACTCGCAAAACGGCGCGGCGCTCGGCACGCCCGACTACCGCTACGGCCTGCGGGTGACCGTGATCGCGCTCGCGGGGCACCCGAGCTGGACGACGACGCCCGAGGGACTGCAGTGCGGTGGTCCCGCCGCCTTCGGGTACGTGATCTTTTCGCCCTTCGGAACCTAACCCTGGGTCTTTCTGACTGGTCATCGTGTGTCTGATCTGGTAGGCTGGGCGAAGTGCCGTTCACGCCCATCGCGACGTACAAGGACCCCGTGAGCGTGATCAAGGAGTACGGCTCCGCCTAAGTAGAAATCGGTGCAAGATGGGAGCAGCTGCGAGTCGGCCTTCCTGCGCTCAGAGAATCGGTCGATGGGCCTTCCACATAGAGTGGGTTTGCTGTATTGTATGTATGTAGGTCTACTTGGGCTACAATCGTCACGAACTTCGAAGGGATGCCCACGGTGTAGTATGCAACGCAGTAGTTGATTTTGTGTTGGTCGTCGATCCTCAGTAAGTACATGTCGACCGTCGGTTTACGTGGTCCTGCCGCGATAACATGAAGATATATCGCCGGTCCAGGTGACATCCAATCCTCCGAGGTGCCCAGGACCGTCATCGCCTCTCAGAGCTGTAGACAAGAGGGCAAAAATGATTCCCACTAGCCGACTCGAACGACTGACCTCGTCATTGTATTCTCCTTTTGAAATTAGGAGCGGATACTAGTGACGCGCTCTACCAACTGAGCTAAGCGGGAGTTGTGGAAGTGTACTGTAACGCATACATAAAGCGTTATCTAATTATTCAACCGGAGATCCCACATTGAAGTTTGAACACCCGCGCGGAGCATGCATGGTTGTGTATCTGTTACGAAACGTTTTATGCCATCGAATACCAATAGGATCTCCATCGAGGGAATAGCTCGCCGGGTGCGCTTCGTACTTGAAGTCACATCCGAGGTCAAATATCTTAGGACTCGGAGCCTGGGGGCACCATCGCATATGGGTTGCAGACAAAATATGGGATACAGTGTAATGACAGACGGTACTATACTATACAGCGTTGGGGCTTTGCCAAGCGCGTTGTACTACGGTGCTATGTATATGTCGACCGGCGAAGCCATAATTGTGCAATCGGTGCGAGTGCGATACTACTTTCCAGAGACCATAACGGGAACGGGGTGGAGAAGTCGGGAGGGGAGGGAAGCGATTAGTGGGGTCTAGACGACTGCAATGCCCTTAGTCTAGCCGAACGAGCGGGGATTAAAGAACGGAATAAATCAACGAGCTAGGAGCGAGCTTGTGCGTGAGGCTGACGATGTTGACGGGGTACCGATATTGAAGGAGTGGTGGATATGTACTGCGAAGTTGAACGGATGGATGAAGCAATGATGGTCATGGGGTGTGTGTATATGAGAGAATGCATGGTTATGAATATGAGTGACCGTGAGGAAGACGAGGAATACACATGAGTAACGGAGAAGGTCCCGTGGGATATAGTGTACCGATGGTAATCTAACAAGGAATGCAGAGTATATGCGACCATCCCTGAAACGAGTAAAGGAAATGAGTTGGAGGCGACCTGCCTCGAAGATCTTTGGAGGCGCGACCGGCGCTATGACCTGCTGCTGCCCGCTATTCCAGCCCAGGCGCCAGGAAGACCGCGTCTGCGCTTCGTGTCCGTCCGCCCGAGGCTTGGTAGCGTGCCCCACGCGTGCGGATACGCATCGGCATCCTCGGTCTCCGAGCGTCGATGGCGGCCTCGTGTCGGAATATCCTCCTCGTCCTCCCACGCGTGGTCAACACCGAGCGAGGATGGCTGGGGGGTTCGGGAGTTATGCAGGTGTCGGCGGAGGCTCTGGATGGAGTACTGGCGTCGGGCAGGGACAAGAAGACGCGCTAGGTCGAGCTCGCCTTCGTCGTCGTCGTCATCGTAATCGACGTCGTCCGTATCCCGTGAGAGGTCGTCTATCCCGAGGAGGAGGGGTACACGTCGTCCGTTGACCCATTGCATGCTCCACGCTTCGCTCTCCACACGTGTTGCGGCGAGAGAAGGGACGCGATCCGCGTGCACTCCCTTCGAGCCTCGCCGTGCTCTGTCCTGGAGGTTCCGCCGGGCACCGCGTACGGAGCCGGCAGCGCCGCCATTGCGCTCTCCGACTCGTGAAGCGGACCTAGAGCCGGGCGCGGATCTGCAAACTACGTGCGTCGTGCTGACGGCACTCGGCGCCGTTTGCGAACGCTGCATATAGAGAGCCGAGCCAGGAGGAAGTCCCGAGACGCTCCGCCCTTGCGCGCGTGCCGGCCTCGCAGGATGATTCGCAACGGCGGCTCTGTTCTCCTTCGTGGCTCGAGGCCCACGCAGCGACTGGCGGCTGACTGGACGCGAGAGAGGTCCCCCGATGTGGGCACCCAAGTCGGCCGACTTCATTACCGCCTTCGTGACCGTCTCGATCCATGAGGTCGGCATCGGGGGTTCCGGAGCGTGGAGGAGCGATGATGACCGGTCGATAGAAGCGTCCCGGGTAGTAGGAGCGGACCGCTTTGGCATGTTCGGTGCCGAGGCCATATGGCGAAGATAACCGCGCGCGGCGGATACCTGTGCGTAAGTCCGGAGACTGGTCGATGAGGGCTGGGGATGTAAGTCGGGCAGGTGGTGGTGGATGCGGCGTTGGATATGTTGATAGCTGACTGTCCGCCCATCCGAACTACCGCTCATCATAGAGGACAGGGTTGCGCTGGAGGCCGAGTGAGTAGGGGAAGAAGGCGTCTGGTGTGTGGCTTTGCGCTGCTGCAAAGCGCGTTTGTGGCCTAGGGGAGATCCGGGTGAAGAAGGGCGGGCGGATGACACATGCGAAGATGATCCTTGGGACATTTCGGGAGCGTTGCGATCCAACTCGTCGCTAGCGGGCTCGTTCACGTCGGCGCTGGAGATCCAACCGGTGAGGAGGTCCTTGATCCGCCAACTCGACCGCTGCTTCCTTTCTTCATCAGCCATTGCCTGTATGCGCTCCGCCTCTGGGGTAAAGACTCTCGTCTCCTTGTATCCGTGATCCCTGAGAAGGTCCTCCATAGTCTCGTATGTATTGGAGGTCCCTCGGCGGTGGAGAGGAACGCGGCCCGGTTCGCCTTTGGACAGGTTGGAAGGGTACCGAGACGTGGTCCGACCACGGACGGGTGTTGAGGGTTGGTTGGGTTGCATGCCGGGCTGTGTGGTCGAGCAATCAAGGAGCCCAAGGAAGGTGTGATCTTCAGCGCGTCAAGGCCCCGGTGTCGACAGGAATGGAGAGAAACGCTCGCAGGGATGCGAGAGCCCCGGAGACGTGGTTAGAGGCTTGGAAGGCGTCAGTGTGGCGCGACGTTGTGTGGTGGGCAAGTCGTGGTTGCGGCGGGAGAGGATGACCGTATAGGATGGAGGGAAGGAAGATGGCTGAGCTATGCACACGCCGCGGACATCGCCGCTGAGACCAGAGCGAATTACGTAATCTGGGGGACGGCACGTGGGGGCAATTATATGCGTCGCGGATGACGCTTTGTGTGTCCTCAGCGGGTCCTCGACGACGTCCGCGACGCCGAGGCTGCTTTGTTGAGCTCTATACTGCGTGTCTACGCGTCTGTAACGCTTCCTTGGCCCCTCTTAGCCCATGTGTTCTACGTGAACGCGGGAGAAAGCGCTAGGTGCTGCGTCTAGCCGCGACGATCGTCTACCGCGAAGGGCAGATCGTGATTCGACCTTCCTTCCCTCTCCCATGGCCGCGAGCCCTGATGCCTCGCCGCTGCCTCCTGGTCCTCGGCCTATACGGCGGCTTCAGGAGGCTGTCATAAATCGTATCGCAGCGGGCGAGGTATGTCTCCAGTCGAGCTCGGTCATTGTACGACTTGCCAAAGTCTGACGAGCGTAGATCATACATAGGCCAGCGTCAGCGCTCAAGGAGCTCATTGAGAACAGTCTTGATGCTGGCGCGACGTCTATCAAGGTTACAGTCAAAGATGGAGGGATGAAACTACTCCAGATCCAGGACAATGGTTGCGGTATTCGAGTAAGTCGTTCCGGTTGGTCCATTGGTCTTGTTCAAGTCGTAGTGAACAATATACGAAGAAAGAGGATCTACCAATACTCGCAGAGCGCTTTACCACCTCGAAATTGTCCACTTTCTCTGACCTCTCGCGGCTTACTACCTATGGTTTTCGCGGAGAAGCGTTGGCGTCCATATCGTATGTATCCAACTTGACAGTGATCACCAAGACAAAGTCCGACTCTTGCGCTTGGAAGTAGGTAATTCACTATACACCATAATGCTCTCGCTAATGTTGTCCCCTCGTAGGGCTTGTTACGCCGACGGCGCGTTGACCCCGGTGAAGGCGGGGGCGACTTCCGACCCCAAGCCTTGTGCTGGCAATGATGGCACGACTATAACGGTGGGTGTATGCGCATAGCGACGTACTAGAAAGAAACCTCGCTTCACTGGACCCCCGAGTGCGCATGGAGCACCGGTTGTCACTCCTCAAACCGCTCCAGGGGCCCTAGGAAGAGGTACAGGCAGGCTGGAACTCTAGAAGCGATGAAGGTCCACATAGTGATGTCATCACCCATTGACCTAGGGTCAAAGTCTGACTTTAGGTCAGAGTGTGGCTCAGATTCATGAATAACGACCAGCATGGACAACGACCAAGGGTCGGAGGACTAAGTTTGGTTAAGCCCAACCTGCCTTCTAAGGATCCCAGGAATTGCCAGACTGTGGCGAGTCCAACAGAACATGATACCTTGCTAATTTCTTACCCGTATTACGTCGACGGTCGTTGAAGCGTGAATACTAGGTAGAAAACCTATTCTACAACACACCCACGCGGCTTTCAGCGCTACGCGGGTCTTCTGAGGAGTATACGCGGATCCTCGATGTGGTAACTAAGTACGCCATCCACAACCCACACGTGTCATTCACATGCAAGAAGGTAGGATGCTGCATCATACGATTATCAGGTTCACACGCTCACTGGCGGTCAGACCGGGAGCCCTTCGCCGGATGTATCCACCCCGTCGTCATCTACGACCGTCCAAGCCATCCGTTTGATTTATGGCCAGACTCTCGCGAAGGAGCTACTCCACGTCTCCATTCCGTCGTCGAACAAAGGCAAAGAGCAGGACTTGGAAGCATCCGCCGACATCAGCGAAGACGAAGACTCCGGGGATGGGGCTTGGAACGCCGAGGTACATTTCACCAACACGAACTACCAAGCGAAGAAGATGACACTCCTGTTGTTCATCAATCGTACGTTGCACCGGTACGTTGCGATCGGAGCTCATTTCATCGGGATATCTGTAGACCGTCTAGTCGAATCCTCGAGAATCAAGAGGGCGCTGGAGGCTGTGTACAACGGCGTCCTTGCGAAAGGCGCCGCCCCATTCGTGTATCTGAGGTATGCTCATACCAGTGCGCCAATCGTCGAGACGCCTAACGCATGTTCCGGTAGTTTGCAAATAGATCCACGCGCAGTCGACGTGAACGTTCATCCGACGAAAAAGGAAGTGCATTTCCTCAACGAAGACGCCATAATTGAGCGTATCGCGGACGTAGTGCAAGAAGCCCTCATCGGACAGAGTCAGTCCAGGGTGTTCGAGTATCAGGTATCATCGAATAGCTTTTTTTGTAGTTGGTGCTAACCTTACGCCACAGACTCTGCTCACTGGTGGCATCGCCGAGCCCCCGAGCCAAAAGATCAAGGGGAAGCGCAAGACCAGGCCCGATGATATTGACGC